AGTAGGCAGCAGCAGCAAGTCTCACCAGCAGCAACAAGCACTCAGCAGCAACAGTCACATGCTTGATCTTCAAGCATCAAAGTCCAGGAGTGCACGATCTTGAAAATCTGTGACCACATACAAATTTGTTCAGTATTCACCATCTTTGAAATTGAAATTACTGAGCTAATTGTTCAGTATTCACTAACCTCCTTTCTTAAAGTCTTCACACCTGGGATCCTCCATTGTCAATGCAGAAAAACAGCTTTCCAATCCGTTAATCCCCTCCTTTCCAACATCTGCAGACAAAAGAAAGGAGAATTGAGTTAGTTAATTTCACATTAACCCACAAACAGAGCTGGAAACAATTAAATAAACCCCTTACCTTTGCTAATATCATCCTTAATCCAGGTACGGGTGCACATGATTGCCTCAACAGTTTCAAAGTGCAGCCTACTCCGGTGAGGATCCAGCAGCCTACCACCGGAGCTGAAGGCTGATTCTGAGGCCACAGAGGTCACTGGTACAACAAGCAAATCTCTTGATACCTCTTGCAACAGAGGGTATTTTCCAGCATTCACCCTCCACCAATCCAAAACACCAACATTAGGAGCTCGAGGACTGACACCCTCACTCAGATAATGGTCCAATTCAGAGCACAGTGAAGTTGTTTTAGACATTTTCTTTCGGCTTAGATAAATCTCAAAGCCAAGGTCGCTCGAGGTAGGCACAACAAGACCATTTTCAGAACCAGAGGAGGCAGAAAGATCATCCCTAGCTCTCTGTTTCAACTGATACTCACGTACCACATTATAAACAATGGTCTTAACAGTCGCAGAGTCAAGAGTAGGATCAAGGCTTTGAAACTTTTCATAATAGTACCCAATCAACTCAAGCTTGTATGCAGGATCAAGCGCAACAACCACAGTAAGCAACACATGAATATCAGTCTAGTATTTGCTGAACTTGATCCACATTTTTTCAGCCATTGCACCAATGATCTCATCAGGACCATATCTCCACTCATTCAGTTCGAATTTCAACTCACAGATCTTTGGAAAGAACAAATTAGCAGTAGGATAATTGCTTTCAGAAAACAGATCCGAAAGTTTTTTGAAAACCTCCAGTTTTTTAGAGATAACAGTGGCAAACTTCCAATCATCACTGCTAGGCACAGAAGTATAATTAGGTTCTCTCTGACTCAAACGAGTGAACACATCCTTGTAAGGAATTTCATATTCAAGCATAGCAAGTGTGGAATTCCACCTAGTAGGGCACATTCTAGTGCAAGTTTGGTAGAAATACCAACATCTTTTTGCTTAGCAGTCTCATCAAAGAACTCACTCTTCGTGGAGTTGCAGTCCAATATACCACACTTTCCCTAATCTTTTCAATCCCATCTTTGATAATTTCAAGCCCATCTTTCACAATTAAGTTGAGAATATGAGCAGAGCATCTCATTTGCAGCAATGAGCCATTCATTATGAAGTCAGAAAGAACCATCTTTCTCTTAATCTTATCAATCATGGCATTATTTGTAGAACAATTATCAAGAGTGATAGTGGATAACTTACAATCCACATTCCATGACATGAGGGCCTCTCGAAGCACACTTGCTAATTTCTCACTAGTATGAGGAGCAGGAACGTAGAAAAACCTGTGATACACAACATCAAACAAGAGGCAGACCAAAATAATTAGTTAGTGATTATTGTTAAACACATAAGCACAAAACAATGAAAGATTCAAACAGCCATTATGTCATATACCTTAGCAAGTGGCTCCTAAGGTTCCACTGATTGTCAACATAATGAGCGGTTACAACCATGTATGCTCTCTTTTGATTACCTGTTGTCCACATGTCAGTGGTGACAGCAATTCGACCTTTGTTACCATCAATCAACTTTTGCATCTTTTTCCTCTCAATCCCATACATAGCAAGAATGTCACTCTTACAAGTGTTTCTACAAGGAACTTTGAACAAGGGTTGCAGAGAATTGCAGAATATTTTGAAGTACAAGTGATCCACCATACTAAGTGGATACTCATGCATCAAAATCATAGTAACAAGTTCCTTCCTAGAAACCTCTGCATTAAACTGACCAGTACATATTTCTTTCCTCCCAAGAACACCATTTGGAAGGACATTAGTGGCAATGTTTTTCTGATTGCCATCATGAATATGTTTTTGAACACACACTTTTTATGATTCCTCAAATGAGAGGTACCATTGCTAGTATCACCACCAAGAATCTTACGGCAATATTTGCACTTAGCTTTCATCTCACCAGACTTATCAACAAACCTAGTAAAGTGAGGCCAAACATCGCTTTTTAATGGAGGTTTGGACCCAAATGGAAGAGGAGAAGGCTCACCATTATTGAATGGTGCATCACCAGCAGCAGTCACTACATTACCATTATTCACAGCAACTGCTGGTGCAACACGAGCAATCAATGGTTGCTGCTGCTCGGGTTCAGGGTTGATGAGTGGGGGTGTGGATTGCGAGTTGGGAGAGTTGTTGAATTCAACACCTTTCATTGCCTCACCTGTTCATCAATCAGGAAAAAGAAAACAGCTAAGGTTAAATCAACTGAAACTAAGAACTAATGACTAGTACTAATAATACTCTAGATAGTAAAATCGACTAAATTACCTTCGTGATTAGTTAATGATCAATGAAACAGGGCAGTCAGTAACCCTGCAACCCTACAGAAATCACGAAACAGGGGATGAGTTAAACATGAAAGTATGCAACACACACTCATAAGTCAGAATTTCCCAAATCCACAGAGTAAGGCTACAAGAAGACTTACGGCTTGTGCAATTGTGCTCCTTGCAGTTCCAGTGACTCGAATTCTCAACAGGGATTACACGCAGCTACAAGTTTCGAGAGTGGTTTACGACTTTGCGTTATGTGAATATGAGATAGAAATTGCCAAAACAATCAATTAGACTATTTATAAAGGCAAGCATGAAGAAGAAGCAGAAGATAAAGCTCAAGACGAAGAGAAAGAGTCGATTAAGGGCAAGTGCAGCTATAATAACCATCGGGAATGGCTCGATTCGAAAAAATCGATGGGGTTTCAATAGATTGATTGGGTATCTGATCTTTTGAGCAATCAATGTAGGGATTATTGTCGTTTTTCTCTACAATCGAAGAGAAAACTGCGAGATTTGAGGAGAAGGGGAAGGGTCGGGCTTGGAGATTGGTTTATCAGAGGAAGAGGATTTTTCGCGAATGAAGTGGGAAAGGGGGGGGGGGGGCTAGGGTTTTCTAAATGCGGGTTTCGGGGCTTGTCGGGGCAGATTTTAACAAAAACATCACCGCCCGTCAACCGGCTACGCTAGTGGTGGGCAACGATTCAATTCACATCGGACAAAATCGGACCAAATCGACTCTCACACCTAATCGGATCGAACTGTTTATCTTTCGATTCGACTTTGGTTCCTGAATTTGGGACATTTTCGGTTTTGGTTCGGTCCAGACTGAAACTATAAAATCAAGCTAAGGACCGGACCGAATCGTAATTAAATTAATTGCCTATTTTGTTAGGCTCTAAGAAGGAAAGTCGACTTGGAGTTGAAAACCATAGTACCCTACATGCCACTTAATTACCTATAAATATGGTTGACTTTTCCTGACTTTGACTCGCCGCTCCCGCTCCTATAGTCCTACTCTCTAATTAGAGTTCTCATCCGCGTTGCTTCGATCAAGAGAGATGCTTACTTTACCTACACACTGTGAACCATGTATTTATATTATGTTCTCTTTTCTTGTTTAATGTTTTATATATGGAGAAGATGCGAATAAATGACATCACAGATGCTTCTGCCAAGTCTGACAACACCACTGCAAATTAGCAAGTTTAAGAATCATTTGTTTTAGGTTTAATACACTTGTATATCCAAAAACTTTTACGGTTGTGCCAATAATATCCAAATTTCCCGAAATACCACTTATATCCAATTCCTTCACATTCTTTAACGGTGTTTTTGGATATACAAGTGTATTTAACCAAAAATATATTGGGAAATGGATAGATTTGGCAAAGAACAACTTTAAAACATGGATATAAGTGGTATTCCGAGAAATTTGGATATTATTGGCACAACCGTGAAAGTTTTGGATATACAAGTGTATTAAACCTTTGTTTTATTGCAATAGTTCTTGGAGTAAGTGTCATTTTGTTAAACTCATTTCTAATGAACAGTGGAAATTATGGAGATTGGGAGGTCCAACGTGGCAACGTGCACTCTGGAAATGAAAATGGAAGATTAGAGAGGCAATTAGTTAGACTACTTTGAGATTGAATAATTTTTTTTTTCTTTTAATTAAGTAGTTCTCGTTTAGCTTTTTGCATAGTATTTTGGAACATGTGGGTTTTAAGAATTGTGGAGTATTTAAATTGGGATAATTTGATTACTTCTTTTTATGTAGTTATATTTTTTTAATTGTTGTGTTGTCCTTTAAGAGTGATTTTATTCGAATGAATGATTAGTCGGTCCAATGGGATGGTCCAGACCGAATCGAGTCATATATGGTTTGATCCAGACCGAATCGAAGTAATAACGATTCGATTTTGGTCCTTGATTTAGAAGAAATTTTGGTCTGGTCCGAGGATAGTTTGATCCGGTCTTGGACCGAATCGACCAATGTCCACTCCTAGCTACAGCGGGTTTCCCCAAAACCCGTCAATAATACAGTCAAACGGATTTAACCCGCCAGAAAACAGATCGGGCCATTCGGGCCCAGTTGCCGAGCCTAATTGGATGTGAAGCTGGAGATTTCAGCCGACTACCGACGAAATGGACGTCACCCTCCCTCCTCCTCCGAGTAACAGCTAAGTCCTATTAACACTCCGTCGCCATTGTTAAATTAATCACCGAATATCTTCCCTTTTTTCTCTATCTTTCTATTTTTTTGGGTTATTGACAGACACGGAAATAAACGTTAACGACCTGGACCTTCTTCCCTCAGACCCTCACCTCCCCTTTCCATCCTGTTAATTATATCACTCTCACTCTCGCCTCTCCCACGCAAATAGAAAACCCATCCTCAACCTCTGAGATCTATTCTCACACCCACACACACACTCCCTCGCCCTCTCTCTTTTTATGTTCCTTCTTGTTACACAATAGAGCGAGCGCCTGACCCAGATCTCCTCTGGGCTGCTCTTTCTCGTTGCTGATTCGTTCCTCAATTCCCAGTAAGCTCCAAGCTTTCCTTCTTGTTTTAGCCACATATTGCGTCATTTAATTAGAATCCGGGGTAGACTCGTGTGTCGCGGATCTGATTTGAGAAATTCCCATCTGGGTTTGGTTCTAATCATGGGTTGGATTCGCTTTCGTATTTAAGGTTGTGGGAATTGGGGGATTTGGTGGTTTCAATGCGAGTATGAGTAATGAGCTTTCTTCTGGTTCGGATCTAAAGACACTTTACTTCGTCTTTGATTGGCTATTAAAGATGTCATTGTCCTTTCTTCGTGTGTGTGAAATTCTTGATTGCCAGGCCACCCCTGGGTTTTAATCAATTCCCCTGTGAACAACATGTTTGCCATTTTTTGGTGTTCTTATTCCTGAATTGGCTGGATCAGTGTTTTAATTAATTGCTTGCTCTGTCTGTGTGTTAATTTTCCTGTATCGAATTGGGGTAGTTAAGTTTTGTGCGCAGTAAGTCTCCCTTCATTGCTTATCGACCGCCCAATGCTTCATTGGTTTTGTGATGAGAGCACGGATCTCAGTCTTGGGATACAAGTTGTACTTTTGTGTTGATACTTAGCCGTCATACTTATGCTAATAATTTAATTAATGTTCTGCTAGACTGCTAAGCCGGAAGCTTTCATTTGTTTATTATGAGCTCTATAGTTGACATATGTCTGCAAATGCTTCTTCCTTCCCTCACTTGGCTTCTTTGCTTTTTTCTTTTGAGTGCGATCAGCTTCCTTAATGTTTACAATTCTGTTTTTCTTTTGGTACTTCTTTATCACAGGTCTTGCTGCAAGGTCTGCTAAATATAAGTTTACCCCAGTTTATTGGGATACTGATTCGAACCTAACAGCTTCAGACCAGTAAGATCTGCATTATGATCTGAGTGACCTAACAAATAGTCAACAGAGTCAGCTAGTTTGGAGATCTCATTAAGTAGGTATAACAATGAGAGGAAGACCAGATGGTGCACAGAAGAAGCGTTTGATAACGTCTGTCTGTGTTATAGCTGTCTTTCTTGGATTTATATACTTCTACTACGGATCCGTATTTGGTTCTCAAGGCCGTGGGGCATCTGCTCTAGAATATGGAAGCAAATCCTTGCGGAAACTGGGCTCGTCTTATCTTGGCGGGGATGATGAGTCGGACAAAGAGGATGGAACGAAATTTGGCCTAGAAGAAGGAGAGGATGATAGTGTCCCGAAAAGCTTCCCGGTAAGGGCTTCCACTGCTAATTAAGATTTTGGCATTTGCACTTTCTTGCTGGCTTTGTCTTCAGATCATTTACTTTTTATTTATAGTTCTTGCTGTTGGCATCTTACTTCTTGTAGTATATGTCTCTCATTCAACTTATGCTGGCTTTTGAAGGTTTGTGATGACCGGCATTCAGAACTGATTCCGTGCTTAGACAGGAATCTTATATATCAGATGAGATTGAAGCTGGACTTGTCTGTAATGGAGCATTATGAGCGTCATTGCCCTCCTGCTGAAAGGAGGTTCAATTGCTTGATTCCTCCTCCACCAGGGTACAAGGTGAGAACTGCTTAAGCCTTGAAGTCTAAATGTTTCTAGATATATTTAATCTGTTGTGAATGTCTTTCCAACTTCAGATGTAGAAAATGAAAGCTTTATCATTACTCATTATACCTGGCAATGCTGCAGATCCCCATCAAGTGGCCAAAAAGTAGGGATGAAGTGTGGAAAGCGAACATTCCTCATACCCATCTTGCACATGAAAAGTCTGATCAGAACTGGATGGTTGTAAAAGGTGATAAGATAGTATTTCCTGGCGGAGGTACTCATTTCCACTATGGAGCTGACAAGTATATTGCTTCTATTGCAAATGTAAGATTGCTGATTCTTGCTTATTCCTTAAACCCTGAGCAAATATTCTAATACATTTTGCTTAATGTATCCTACACAATTGGTCTGCATTTCTGGATTGTTTATGTTCTTTTTGTTCCACATGTTTTCTGATGATCGTCATTCATACTTTAAACACTTACTCTTCTGTTTTTCAATTTGGCAGATGTTAAACTTCTCCAATAATGTACTGAATAATGATGGAAATGTAAGAACTGTTCTGGATGTTGGCTGCGGAGTTGCCAGTTTTGGGGGTTACCTTTTATCATCCGATATGATCACGATGTCCTTGGCTCCAAATGATGTTCATCAAAATCAAATACAGTTCGCCCTTGAGAGAGGTATTCCTGCCTATTTGGGTGTTCTTGGGACCAAGAGGCTCCCTTATCCGAGCCGATCTTTCGAGTTCTCCCATTGTTCCCGTTGTAGAATAGATTGGCTTCAGAGGGATGGTATACTTCTTCTTGAGCTCGATCGGGTACTTAGACCAGGAGGTTATTTTGCATATTCATCCCCTGAGGCATACGCACAAGATGAAGAAGATCTAAGAATATGGAAAGAAATGAGTGCCCTTGTCGAAAGAATGTGCTGGAGAATAGCTGCAAAGAGAAACCAAACGGTTATTTGGCAGAAACCTCTAACAAATGATTGTTACATGCAAAGAGAACCTGGTACCCAACCCCCTCTCTGTCGTTCTGATGATGACCCTGATGCAGTTTGGGGCGTGCAAATGGAAGCTTGCATTTCACCTTACTCTGAGCGTGCGTTCCTTTCCTACCCATGCTCTCTTCCCTTGTGGATTTGCTGAGATCTTTAACATAGTTTTTCTGTAGCATTAAGCTAACCATGGGATTGTATTATTATCTATCAGACGACCACAGGGTCAAGGGCAGCGGACTGGCTCCTTGGCCAGCTAGATTGACTAGCCCTCCGCCAAGACTTGCTGATTTTGGCTATTCGAATGATATGTTTGAAAAGGACGTGGTATGTACCTGAAGCATCCATCTTGGAAGTGTTGCAGTTTGTTTTCCCCTCAAACTAATAGGCTTGAGCATGACAACGAGCTATCATTAAACATGAGTAATGTTTTGTAGGAACTCTGGAGGAAGAGGGTGGATAACTACTTGAATATCTTGAGCCCAAAGATCCAGTCAGATACCATAAGGAATGTGATGGACATGAAAGCAAACTTGGGGTCTTTTGCTGCTGCACTTCTTAAGAACAAGGACGTATGGGTTATGAACGTTGTCCCAGAAGATGGACCAAATACATTGAAGGTGGTATATGACAGGGGGCTGATAGGCACTATCCACAGCTGGTACGTAACAATCGACTTTAATTTCAGGGGGCATTCTCTTTTTTCACTACGCTTCTGATTTCCTTTATTATAAGGTCTTCGGGTTGGGTGTATTGGCGAGGGTCATATATACAATTGAACAATTACGTTGGTTTCCTTTGACACTTTAGATATATTTGTCAGCATTGAAAGTAAATAGCATGCAATTGAGATAAGTAACATTTATTTACAAATGCATCGAATCACAAACATTTAGTCCATAGGGATCGTGTGATTTGTTCAAATACCGCCCACTGAATATCTTCCAACATGTCCGTTTGACAGGTGCGAAGCCTTCTCGACATATCCTCGGACATACGATTTGCTTCATGCTTGGACCGTGTTCTCTGACATTGAGAAGAAGGGATGCAGTGTGGAAGATCTTCTGTTGGAGATGGATCGTGTGATAAGGCCCAGTGGTTTCATTATCATACGCGACAGGCAATCGGTGATAGATTACGTGAAGAAGTATATGGTGGCGTTGCACTGGGAAGCAGTAGACTCCTCCAGCACTGAACAGGACCAGGATGGTGAAGAGGTTGTCTTCATTGTCCAAAAGAAGCTGTGGCTGACCAGTGAGAGCCTTAGAGACACAGAGTAGTAGGGGGAGGGACAAGCCCCTTCTCAGTAACTCCAACACTTAAAATATTTTTCGAGCAGAAGGCTCCAGCGCATGGGGAGGAAGTGAAGAAGTAAGTAAGAAGGCCATAGTGCTGTGAGTAGCAAGGACAGGTTTTACATTTTGTAGCAGGAAATGAAGTTCCACCCACCATATCCCTCTTTTTTTTATGGTTTTTGTTCTTTTGGTCCTTGTAATGATTCTTCAATTTGATAGCATGGAACTATAAGTCGATAGGGGCACTATTCTTCAGATTGGTCTTTTTTTTTTTTTGCTGTTTTCGTTAATGAAAGCAAGAATAGTTACTGGAAACCTTTATTACTTGAAGTAGTCATGAGTGATGATGAAGTTGGTACAGGAATGAGTAATGATCCAAATGACGGTGTTGGGTTTTCTTACTTTCTCGCTCGTCGCCAGCTCATTCCCATCTAGTGCCAGTGAAGGCTAATAAGTATGTAACTAAGTGGTCCCTTTGCATTGCAGATGTAGTTGTGGGAACGGTAATTGTCAAAACATTACTATGGCGTGGATAGTGATGGCAACCTGGCTCGCGCGATCCAATATGTCTGGATACATTTACGGGGGTAATTAGCATAAATGGTCACAAACCTTTGCACTTAGTACAAAACAGTCACAAACCTTTAATTTGTAACCATTTGATAACATAACTTTTTTACTTAGAACAAAACGGTCACAAATTAAACAGTGTGACCATTTCATACCAGTTCAAACTTTTGTTACTCTGTCGTTGCAAATTAGACTTTTGGTGACCGTTTTGTACAAATTAAGTTCAAAAGTTTGAACGCTCAATCACCGTTACAATTCACTCTAGTTGTATGGTGGTTTTGTTAATGTATGTGAATGATATTATGTTGTTTAGGATGACAATGAGAGAACTCAATGGCTCACAAACAGGTTCCAGACTGCTTTTTAGTTGAAAAAACTAGGTCTACTTTCTTACTTTCTTGGTATCGAAATTGAAAGGTCAACTGAGGGCATTCTTATTCGGAAAAGCAAATATGTTGATGCACACATGACCTGACATCTTATATGTCGTTCAAGTGGTTAGTGTCATATACTTAACGAACAAACTACCCAACCTCAAAACATGACCAACATTTAATTTGTAACGATTCGGTAACAAACCTTTGAACTTAAAACAAAACGGTCATAAATTAAATAGCGGTGACCATTTTATACAATTTCAAAGTTTTGTTACCATATTGTTACAAATAAAAGGTTTGTGACCATTTTGTACTAAGTGCAAAGGTTTGTTACCATTTATGCTAATTACCCCGATTTACAATATTGTAAGGTGGGGTGTTAGTACTGCTTCTGACTCGTCTTGTCCTATCCTGTTCTCGATTTATTTTTTTATAATTTGTTTTAATATCTATCTTTATGTTTTCTCTTTTGATTTTTCTAAACTCATATTTTCATTCAAAGAAATTTTAAGACTACATCGTTCTATTATTTAGACTCAATTATTTTTTTTATTATATTTCTCATTCATTTATGAAGAATTTTCTCAATATTTTCTTGTAAAAAGTGTTAAAAATCAAACTCTTTTTAATAATATTAAAAATAGTTTGATTTACTCCGTTTCGTAGCTACACGAATATTACTCAATGTCTCAATCCATGACTGATATAGATTTTGAGATATACCCGCTTCGTTCCATTGACATCGCTAGATGTGGAGAGTGTAGTAAAGTGAATGAAGAAAAGGAAATAAAGTGCCAAGCAAATATATTAACACAAACATTCAAACCGCCTTGGCACATGCAAATGTCCCTTTGAATTTGACTCTGGGAACCATTTATTAAACAACCTTGAGGTGTTTGTTATTCTTCTTATCAAGTTTGATTCTTACGGCAATCCAATGTTCCTTTGCTCTCAAGAAAAAGCATGACCATTTCCAAGGGCAACAAGCCTATTCATCAGAATGCCATTGCCAGTCTTGTACTACAATCACTTTTTTTTTAATGAGATTGGATATAGCAGATCTTTAACATCTATAAAGAGGATAAATTTTTAGCAGTATTTGTAAAACTATATCGTAGCGACAGTCCGGCCGGAAAAATTTCCTACCGGAGTTTAAATAAGTAGGCGGGTTTTAGGGTTATACAGCCTCCGATAAAATTTTATAATCCTTCCGTCATAGAACCGGTCAATCTGTTTTCGGATTAGATCACCGAGAATCATCTCGATTCTATTCTATTGTTCTACCTCATCCATAAATTGTCAACTCCACACCTTAACTGAGCCAAAACAATAACTTCTTCATCATCTGGGATGGCAACTGACTGACTACTGCTGGTGTAGTTGAGTGGTAAACTCAATTCTGCAGAGCAAGTCCATTTGTCCAACCACTTTTGTTTCCCCATTTTCCCAATTCCAACCCAACAAAAGGGTGGCATAATATTGGCAAGTGGCTACCAGTTGCATCTCATTTCTGATTGGAGTGCTTGATAATTATAATGATAATGATAATGATGTATGTGTAGTTAAAGGTAAAGTTGAAGTTGGGTAGGTTGTTCATCTCTTCTACTAATAATGTGACCACAATCAATGTGCCTTTCAATTTTGCCCATAATGAAATTGTGTGTAGGGATGATAATGGGTAGGGTTGAGCTGGGTTTCTTTAAACTCAATTCAACACAGTGGATGCACCCATTAAAAAAAAAAAACCAGTAATATATCTATTGGGTTTTAGAAGTTAAAATTCAATCCAGTTCAACAGGTATTCTCGACTGCATGGATACTCATTGGTTCACGAATATAATCATATATTATTTCTTCCAACACGCACATTGTAATGCTATCAAATTTTTTTTTCTAGAAATGTATCTCCATAAAAACTATTAACATTCATGAATTATATTCATAATGTCATAAAAGACTAATAACGTTCATAAAATTAGTCAGATCGTCCATATTAGATACAAAATGACGTCATTTTCCCTTAGGGGTGCGGGTCGGATGAAAAGCGAATTGGATTCCAACTCACCAATTTCAAAATCACGGTAAAACACATACTCGATCCAAAACTCGTCAACACTGAATTTTTATCGAGTTTGACCTCCTTGGATCGGATGGATTAACCGTGTGAGTTGGCCATCCTTAATTGTGTGTTTTCTGCATATCCCATTTGAGGCTGGTCCCCGCTTTTCAAGCTTTTGCACCCTGCCCTACACCCAAGGGGAAATGGGCCTCTAGCTCCAAGCACCTTCTTCTTGCCTTTTGGTTGTTTATTAATTGCAGGTAATATAACAATTGCGTTAGATTTAGTCATTTAGCTGTCAATAAACAAGTTTTGCTTCTTTTGAGTAATGGCTGTGGCCCGCGCCCTAATTTCCCCTTGCAGTCAGTCAGTCAGTCAACCGATGCTTTGCTGCTGCCATTACTTGCAAAATTTAAGGAGCGTTTCAAGCGTTCCCTCCATTTTTGTTTAATTTAATCCCAAAGTGAAGAAGAAAGCAGAGTGGTGAGACAAGGACAATGGGAGTGAGGAAGGAGATGACTTTTGTGTCTGCTGAGCTTTTTGTACCATGAGATGGCAAACACACACTAAAAAAAAAGCTAAAGTCAAACTGCTGTGGCTCCAAACTTTCAACTCCCTCTTCTCCGTGATATATGATGATAAAAATATTATATGTTTTTAATTCTTACAATTTGATGTAAAATTATTATCGAAATTTATGTAAATCTTAAATAATTAGAATCGTTGCATAAGTTATGGCGACATGTGATTCAATATATATGGCTTGGTGTGTTCTTCGATCGAGGCGAGATAGAATGTCATGAAGACGTGGCGCTGGGCTGACATGAGGGCTAAAAATGAACTGTCACGACTGAGAGTTGGCTTTTAAAGCCAACATTGTATGTTGTAAAAATTCGATGATTGCGAAAAAGAAAGAATGCGATATTAATTTATGTGATTTTTCCGTTCAAATTGACACATGACTAGTGCAGGGAAAGTAGAAAACTCTCGAGAAGTTTTATCACGCTTTTCTTCGACTTAGGGTTCAGCTCATCCATGGTTCCTACTAAAAGGATATCCAAGTTTGGAAAATTAATGAAGTCAAAATTGTTATTAAATCACCTGCATTATTTCTGCAATTAGCAGTCGTCTTGTCATCGGGTTAAAAAGACATGGCAAATGGTCCAACTCGGTTCCCACCTTTCCGTCACTCTTAATATTTATTTGTCTCATAATAATGATTCAGTGTATTATTATGCTCCAAGTTTAACACAGTTTCTCTCCGCTTACTCAATGTTTTATTATTGTATATCTGTTACTTATCTTATATCTAATCTAGCCAAGTGCCCCAACACTAATGGGCATCTCTCTCTACTAAAATATAAAAAAAATTCACTCTTCATTCGTGGAAGATGTTATGATGTAAATTTAAGTTTTACGGTTAGACCGCGTCAGGTCTAACACAGTTAAACTACATAATCGTAGTAGTATATTAGTCAGTTTTGCCGATTAAGAAAAGTATCACTACATTAGCAACGATATTTAATAGATATGCTAGGTTTTTTTTTTATAGGAAAATAGATATGCTAGGTTTAAAATCAAATTTATACTATTCTGCCAATTTACGAGTATCACATTCTATTTTACGCACTGGGAAATATTTCCCTATCGAACGAGGTTGATGTTGCTGGACGGGAACGGAACCTCTGAAATTTTCAATTTTCACTTTATGGACAGACGGCAAATGGACAGCGAGTAACGGTGAAAAATAACAGAGACCCAAAGTAGGAGAAAAAGGAAAATGAGAAATGAAAGAGAGAGAGGAAAGCAAAAGAAAGCAGCAACAAAGCCAAAGCTCTCTCTCTCATAACTTTCAACGCAACCAACAATGTTGGGTGGTCTCCAGAGGCACGAACTTCTTCTCTTCTCCTACTCATTCTCTTCCCCTCCTTCTCCGTCCAGAATTCCCGCCTCTCCGTCTTCCTCTTCCACCTAGCTTCTCCACCCGCCGCCACTTGCCTCGGTACTATTCTTCACCCTCTTCTCCTACTGCTCCTGATTCTGAATCCGGCTCTCTGGAAATTCTCCGATTTGGTTTGCCTTTTTGCTTTCCGATTACTTGAACTCTTGTTCCCTTCCCTTATTTCTTTCTTTGTTCATTTCCACTGTTTTTCTACTTCTTGATTGCTTCCGTTTATTTCGTGGCTCTGAGCTGCGTCTCTGTTGGTCCTGGAACTCGGAAGTGCCTAGTTTCGGGAGCTTTCTCTGGAGCTTTTCGAGTTGCCCGATTTGGAGTCTGTGTTAGGTTAAACTGGGAGAAATGTGGATGTAACTGTGGGAACTACAGTGATGACAGCTCTCTTTGGAAGTCGCTGCTTATCGGATGTTGAATTCTGGATTCGATCGCTTTTTTTGCTCCATTTCCTTTCTTTTCACTCCGATCGTTTTCCTTGGATTCTTTGTGGATTTTATTAAGGGGGAGAACAACTGTTGGGAGTTTTCAGTGAGGGAGAAGGCGACTGCGCTATCTTTAGTTCGTCTCTTCCTCTACTTATTTCAATTTGCTTTTCCTAGATAGTTAGGGTGGAAGGCTTTTTGATGATGAGCTTGCCTGCTGTGATAACTGAAAAAGCTCTGGAAATTAGGATCGAGCTCACAAAGGATTCTGGTGACCTAGATTTTCTTCCCTGCTGGAGTTTAGAACACAGCATTGAGTGATTTAGACTAGTCACAGGAGATATTTGATGAGGCAGCTCAGAAGTACTGGCGTTTACTTTTGGTGTAAGTGTATTAGATCAAGGCAGACAGGTTTAGAAGTAAACTGTTGGTTTGATTTTTTTATTTGGACAAAAATCTTGTTTGGCAGCCCAATGAATTACGCCTGATATTGACCCTGGGGATATGGCTTAGACGAATTGTTATTGCTGTGAGATCTGACCAAGTACCTTAGAGAACTGTCGAGCACGAAGGAAGGTGCAAAAGAATAAAGATCGACCATTGGGGTTTCCTGCAACAATCCTTTATCAACAAACAAATCAGACAATATGCATAGCTATGTCTTGTTTCAAGTTTCATGTTGGTTTTAGGATTCCTTGTGCAACTGGGAATGTAGCTTTTGTGTTTTTCTTTCTGATTAGGATATATTTTTCTGAAATATTCTTATATTTGTTTCTTTAATGTTCTTCATCCATCCTGCTGCGCCTAGGGTTGCAGTCAGTTGTTTTCAAAGAAATATGGGGTGGTGGAATTTAGACAAAATAGTGGTACTAGGCATAATCTCATCTAGACTCTTGTAATGTCTTGCGTACTTGATTTTCAAATTTCAGTTATGCACGGTTTAATCTCATTCTAATTTTCTGGCGCTTTATCAATGCAGGATATAGACTTCAGTTGTACTGCAATTTCTTATCCTGGAAATGGGGACTTAAGATGAATATCTGATCTTTCTGGAGTACGTGAACTGAATGTGAGATTGATTTGATTTGATCACATCACAGATCTAAATTTACGTCTGGAAAAAGCTGACGAGGTACTAGTAATTCTACATTGAGATATATGGAGTCTGCACGATGTTGGTTCGGCAAATTCAGGTCAAAAGACAAAGCAAGGCCTTCGAAAAAGAAAGAAGCCTCAAGCAACGGCAAAGAGGGGGCTAAAGCACCAAGTAGTGAAGAATTGCCGTCAAATGTAACGAAACAAAGGGTTGCAGCTGCAAAGCAGTATATTGAAAATCATTATAAGAAGCAGATGAAGGACCTGCAAGAAAGAAGAGAGCGGTATGATTTACTCGTAGCAATGGTCTTAGAGAAGTACCTACCTGGTCATGTTCATAGTTTTTCTTTTGAGTATTTCATATCGTTCCTCTCATCTATCTGTACTTGGTTTGAGATTCTGGTAAGTCTGGTGTTTTGTCTGCAATTGTGGATGGCATTAGATTTTGGTGGTTCTTGATGTTGAGTGATAATACGAAATCTTGCAGGCGAGATTTGCTTGAGAAGAAATTGGCTGATGCGGAGGTCACGGAGGAAGAGCAAAGCAACTTAATAAAATATTTAGAGAAAAAGGAAACAGAGTTCATGCGGCTCCAGAGACATAAAATGGGAGCTGATGATTTCGAGCCATTGACAATGATAGGCAAGGGCGCATTTGGGGAGGTATGCCTTTTCTTTTGGGAGATACATGCCGCCAAAAATATCTAGGCTTCATACTGTTGTGCCCTTATCTAGTACTGCTGAATCTTCTGCCATACTTTTAGGGTGCTGTCTCTTCTCTGAGGTTAGCCTGCATGGAATGTATATAATATATGCCCATATCTTATATGTGGTGTAGTAGGGTGCATGAACATTCCAGCTTCCACTTTGAGGCTTCCTCTGTCTGCCATGGAGCTTTTATTTATGATGCTATACTAAACTTACTCGCTTGCTGGTATTTACTTCATCGTGTTTCTATTTACATATTTCAGGTTCGAATATGTAAAGAGAAGTCAACAGGTCATGTATATGCAATGAAGAAGCTTAAGAAATCAGAGATGTTGCGTAGGGGCCAGGTTTGTGACTATTTAAGTAACTCCAGATGCTCATATCAGTTATCAGTAGCTTATGCTTAATGAAAATGTGTGATTGTCCAGGTTGAACATGTAAAAGCTGAAAGGAATTTGCTTGCAGAGGTTGAGAGCAATTGCATTGTCAAACTATATTGCTCATTCCAAGATGAAGAATATCTATATCTTATAATGGAATATTTACCTGGTGGGGATATGATGACATTACTTATGCGGAAGGATACCCTAACTGAAGATGAGGCTAAGTTTTATGTTGGGGAAACTGTCCTGGCTATCGAATCTATCCATAAGCATAACTATATCCATAGGTAATTAAATCTTTCGCCTGTTGGCTTTTTCTTTCATCATTTGTTTGTTTCGATGGTAATATAAAACTCGTCTTTTCTTTTGTTTCACAGAGATATCAAGCCTGACAATTTGCTACTAGACAAGCATGGCCACATGAAGCTCTCTGATTTTGGACTATGTAAACCTCTAGATTGCACCAACCTCCAAGAAAAAGATTTTACGGCATCGAATAAGCTTAGTGGAGCTCTTCAGAGTGATGGAAGACCTGCAGTACCAAGACGCACACAACAGGAGCAATTGCAGCACTGGCAGAGGAACAGGAGGATGCTTGTAAGTTCACTAGAATTATGCAGTGCGGTTGGTCCTATTTTTTTTGTTGTTATAACAAGCTCATATTGCACACCAACTCTCTTAAATAAATAGTGAGACCCTTCTGGAATCTGTATAATCATTCCCGACATAACTTCTTGGTGAAGTCCAATGCGGTACTTGAGTTTCTTCAAGTTGATTTTCTGGCGAGTATCGTTGTATTTCAACACATTTTGTTAGGTTTTCTGTCGAAATTTATTGTGTAATCTTTATGCGGAAACTTTTGTTGGAAGAGCAACTGTTAAGACTTGCTAATATAGTAATAACTTTCTTCTTTCTTAGGCTTATTCGACAGTTGGAACACCGGACTACATTGCCCCTGAGGTTTTGCTGAAGAAAGGATATGGAATGGAATGCGATTGGTTCGTACACTAAATTTGTTTACATCTAATCATTTATTGTGTGAAATATGTCTCATTCTGGGATTGTACGGTTGTGGTTAAACTTCGTACCTTTTGTTCAGGTGGTCTCTGGGTGCTATCATGTATGAGATGCTTGTGGGATACCCACCATTCTATTCCGATGAGCCAATGTCAACTTGTAGGAAGGTGCTATTTTAATGCTGTTTATCGACAAGCATTTACTTGTATCAATTGAGCAAGTTACCTTAAGTCTTATCGTTTATGTTTGGACAAGGAAACTCAAGTGTATGATTAGCACTTTTTTTCATCAAAGTCCTCAAAACCTATAACTAATTGAATGCCTGGTGAGTTGAACAAATGCTGACCAGAGTTCCTGTCCTGCAGATTGTTAATTGGAAGACTCATTTAAAATTTCCGGAAGAAGCAAGGCTATCTCCCGATGCTAAGGATCTTATCTGTAGACTGTTATGCAACGTAGAACTGAGGCTTGGGACTAAGGGTGCGCACGAAATAAAGGTGTTGTGTGGTGTGTCCTATTCTTGAAATGTTGATTTAAATCTAGTTGAGGATTCAAAAGGAACATATGAGTAAGTGCTTTAACCTATGTTTTATCAGGCACACACTTGGTTTAAAGGTGTTGAATGGGAGAAGTTGTATCAGATGAAAGCTGCATTTATCCCTGAGGTCAATGATGAGCTGGACACTCAAAATTTTGAGAAGTTTGATGAGGTAGATTTTATCTCTTGTGTAAACCAAAGACCTGTTTTAGAAGTATGTTTTTTTCTTCTGATTTTCATGATCTTTGGTGTAGGATGACAGCCAAATGCAGACTCCAAATAAATCTGGACCATGGAGAAAGGTAAGAACATCAAGTTTTTTCTCTTAATGGCGGGTAAAATCCCATTCTTGGCTCAAAGCTTGCCACTTCAACATCTTCCTTCATGTTCTCCTGACGAACATGGAGCAATTTTAATTTCCCGTGTTAATACTTGTTTGATCTAATGAATGGGTGGAGGCTGAGGGTTTAGAGATCCTTCATTTATTTCGGGGTCTTGAGGTTGATTTTTGTTGCGATGTTATATGATGCAGATGCTATCATCCAAGGATATCAATTTTGTGGGTTACACATATAAGAACTTCGAAATCGTGAATGACCATCAATTGCCTGGGATAGGTAATATTTTGTCATGTTCTTGTGACTATTTGATAATATATTATGCTCACATTCATTTCAGCTTAACAAGTCTATAGATGATATAAATATATGCATGCCTCTAAACAATTTCAAGCATTAAAATCCGACGTGCTAGTTTGAGCATTGCACGTTATAGTTCATAATTGTTTTGGGTCGTAGATGTGGACTGACACAGCTGGATGGTACCGCTGTCTTATTGGGGGAACTTGTAGTAGACACACATAGCCCATGACGGGCAGGATAATGTTCTAAAGTAATATTTTTTGGTTAGAAGGAATGTTTTCTTGTGTTCATTTAATAGTCGGTACAGCACTGTACTTGTTCGCACCCGATCCGATCCGATCCTCTCGGCTTGGCTTATTTCACAAAGCCTTTGTTTGTTTCTTTTCGTTTTATGAAATATTGAAATGGCAGGAAGTAAAAGTTAAGTTATCCCCGGTAATGATTTCTTGCGATTTTTAATGGACAGCTGAACTGAAGAAGAAGAACACAAAGCCGAAGAGACCATCGATCAAGTCCCTTTTTGGTAAGTTCTTTTATTGAACTCCTTTCCTTCCTCATCTAAACCTGAAATCTGCCACCGGAAAGCTTTGCGTTAACCGGCAACTACTGTTGGATGAGTGACACCTACCCATTCCCGCCACACCAGTAGTGTCACCACTGCCTGTGGTGATGTGAGCTTTCTACCCTACCGACCAAGAACGCAAAGACTCTGATGGCGACTCTCTCTTTTTTTATTTCGATCACATTGGTTAATCAAATCCTGGTATTTTCTCCAGAGGACGAGACAGCAGAGGATGATGCCATTCAAGAACAGCCCGCGCATGGCGGTGGTGGCAGCTTCCTGGGACTCTTGCCTCCGAAACATGATCATTACGGACAACCGAGTAGATCGAAATGACCTGCTGACTCGTTTGGCTACAAGGTGTATTAATTTCTGATTTGGATGCGTTAACATATGCTATACGCTTGAGCTGAAAGCACCAGGAAGAAGGATGATCCAAACCAACTGAACTAGTGAGAGAATAGCTTGCTAGATGGCTCTGGTTCGCCATTTTGTGGATTGGGTTTACCGGGGCGCCGGAAAGACCAAACCAGGTTGTTGTGGGGGGAAACGGCGGCAGTTTTTGAAGTTTTCTTGTCCGAGAGCTTGTTGGGTGACGAGTTGGATTGGTGGTGGCGGTGGCGGCGGAGGTGGTGGCTATGGATTGCATTAATGTAAAATGCTAAGAGTTTTGAGTAAATATTCTTTCAGGACATAGTTGTTGTATTCTATTGCCTCTTTGTCAATCAAGCTGTGATATAATCTGTGTCCATATCGTTTGACTTCCCCATGTGCTCTTTCTTTCTTTTGTACATTTTTCTGGTTCCAACAAATTTTAGCCAAGTGAAGCTATGTTCGTTTACAAATGGGACTGGCCCTGGTAGCTCAATAGTAGTACCTCTTTCACGTCTGATGGTTAGCATGGAGCACGTTTGGGTATTTGTTTTTTAGAAACAGTACTTTCTTAATAAAAATAGAGAATGAAATGATATAAAGTCGAGATTTGAGATGTGAATATTCTTATTTGACTTGATGGTAGTTACATAATTTTTTTTTTATCATGATAAAGCACTTAGGGCAAGGCCGGAATGGCTCGGGCTATAATCGAAAGACTTCCTCAATGTAGCATGATGAATTCTTCGCAAAAAATAACAACCAAGACATTATGCTAAGACATCGCCTCATAGCACCACTAAGGTGAGAGTGGATAGGGTGCTATGAGGCGTAAGAAGCATCAAACACCCTCGTTTGAGCATTGTTCTGAAAGGTGCAATTCATTTCAAACAAAAGTTTCTTGTGGAAAAATAAATTTACACGCCTAGTGGCCCTTTGTGTTTGATTCGGAGGCTCCTAAACGTAAGAATCAAGAAAGTGATCTTCCATATGAGTAAGAGTAACTTAACTTAACTTGTTTGCAATAGCCATAAGAAGCATCAAACACCCTCGTTTGAGCATTGTTCTGAAAGGTGCAATTCATTTCAAACAAAAGTTTCTTGTGGAAAAATAAATTTACACGCCTAGTGGCCCTTTGTGTTTGATTCGGAGGCTCCTAAACGTAAGAATCAAGAAAGTGATCTTCCACAAGGTACTGTAGATGAGGAGCATATGGCCAACAGTGAGTTTCAACAATGACAATCACTCTCGTCACTGAAAATTTGTGTGTTTTTTCGTCCCGATCAATGTTATTATTTAAGCCATATATTACGCTGTAGACACCACTTTTTGTCCAGGCTAAAACATATATAATTAAATAAAATTTTAGTTTTTTTGTTTAAGATCCGCAATAACGATCTTAAATGACCTTCTAAGTAAAACATATTTGTAGCGTTTCGATGAAGTCTTGTTTGCCATAACCGAATGAGATTCACAATAGCAAATCTTATTTGGTATAATTTGAAATAATGCGATTAACAATAGCAAATCATGGTACAATTGATAGTGTTCACATGCTTCGATTAGACAAAGCTAAGACTTTGGATCTTGTGATGATTAGTGCTCAATTTTGAACAATAAAAAATAAGTCGTATTAAGAAATTAAATAAGCATCATATTAAACTTAATTGGAATTAAATCAAACATAAATAAATTTACAAGAACAATGTTATTACATAATAATTGTCATATAGTTATTACATTAAATTTACAAACACAATACAACAATAAATAAATTTAGGCCTAAATCAAAGCCCAAGTCAAAGTCCAAGGCCAACAAAAGTCAAAATCAACTATTGGTCAAACATGCAATCAAACCAACCAACAAAGTCAAACCGGCCAGACATTAGGTCTGACCAAACCCAGACACTGTTGCAAACTTAGGGAACAAGTTGACTTTTCCTATAAAAAAGAACCCATTGAACAGAGAAAGGGGACTGGATTTTCTTTCTTCTTCTTCTCGTCCTCCTTGTTCTTCCTCGCCAGAGGCAATAGACAGAAAAAGGGGACAGGCTTCCTACTCCTTCTCCTCCTCCCTTTTCTCAGCGAGTTCCTTCTGCTGCTTCTTGCACACAAGCTTCCTTCCCCTCCTTCACATTTTTCTTTCTGTTATGATCCACAGAAAACACACAGCAAAACTCTACAAAACGAAAACTTACCTCTTCTTACAAACAAAAAAAGAAAGGAACAATGGAATCAACTTCTTCCTCCTCTTCCCCACAAACTTCTTCTTCTTTCTTAGACACAGAAATAACACACACAACTCCCATACTTACCCCTCTTTCAGCAGAGATAACAATAAAAAGACCTTATTCCTTTTCAGCAAAATAAACGCAATCATAATACCAAAACCGAACGCAAAGACATAAAGGAGGAAGGAAGCACAAAAGAGCTGCCAGCAAAATCCCCAGAAGCTAGGAGAGGAGGCAGCAGCCATACCCTTCACCAAACGTCAAAGAAAAGAAAGGGTTGGTATTCCCAAAATATCCAACTACCATCATGCATCATCATTTCGCATTTCATCTCTTTTTCTACCTTCCTTTAACCATGTCATTCTAAAAGGTAATTTAATCGATCAAGTTTTTCCATAGCAAGTAGACTTAATAAACACACAAGACTCTTCAAGGCATTTAAATACATTTCCTTTCTGTTTAAGCGCTTTTACCTCTAATCTAAACCATTCTTAATCGAAACCAGCAATCATACCATGAGATTTTTCCAGAAATAGCACTGTTTAAATTTTTTTTTCCAAAAATAGCACCCAACTCCGAAAAATTTCAAAAATAGCACCATTTTTGTAAAACCGCCACCCGGAGGTGCGTTTTTCGATGAAAACGCCACCCGAGGGCACATTTTTCGATGAAAAACGCACTGGTAGGGAACGGTTTTGCAGATCGCACCCCCAGGGTGCGTTTTGGTTGCAAACTGCATCCCCAGGGTGCGTTTTGGCTTTTTTTTTTTTGCAAACCGCACCCCCAGGGTGCGTTCTGCCTTTTAAAAAAAAAAAATCCTAACTTAGGTGGAAACTTCAAACGAACATATCTTTATGTTCGGGTATCCGATCGTCGCGATTTTTTTTTGATTCCGCATAACTTTTTGAGATCTTGCAAGCCGAAGACTGCCAAAGGTGGTTTGCTCTCGCCTTCGTCCCAAAAAATGTCGTTTGCTACCCTGAACGAACTTTTTTCCTATTTCGTCAAACTTTGGACAACCATAATTTTGTGCTCCAAAATCCAAACGACATGAATTTTTTTTTATTTCGCATAAATTTTTAAGGAATACAACTTTTATCATAGACATAATTTCAAAATGTACGTGGATTGTTGAGAAGGGAAGATAAGCTATTCCCAAAATCCTGTATATCCAAAAATAATTCCTGTTTTGAAAATACATTCCTAGTAAAAATTGTAGTCCTTAAAAAGTTATGCGAAATAAAAAAAAATCATGCCGTTTGGATTTGGAGCACAAAGTTACGGTTGTCCAAAGTTTGACGAAATCGGAAAAAAGCTCGTTCGGGGTAGCAAACGACATTTTTTGGTACGAAGGCGAGATCAAACCACCTTTGGCAGTCTTCGGCTTGCAAGATCTCAAAAAGTTATGCAGAATAAAAAAAAAAATCGCGACGATCGGATACCCGAACATAAAGATACGTTCGTTTGAAGTTTCCACCTAAGTTAGGATTTTTCAAAAAAAAAAAAAAAAAAAAAGGCAGAACGCACCCTGGGGATGCGGTTTGCAACCAAAACGCACCCTGGGGGTGCGGTCTGCAAAATCGTTCCCTACCAGTGCGGTTTCATCGAAAAACGCGCCCTCGGGTGGCGTTTTCATCGAAAAACGCACCTCCGGGTGTCAGTTTTACAAAAATGGTGCTATTTTTGAAATTTTTCGGAATTCGGTTTTTCTTCTCGTTGGCTGTAGAGGAGGTCTGGTCCTCCTAGCAGCTCTTCATCTTTTCTTTTTGTTTGCCTTCTGTTTCCTTGTTTCGGGTTTGGGATCAAGCCTTTTTGATCCACCTCTTTTCCTCTTTTCCTTGTCTGTTGTTCTTTTGACGTTTTGGATCCTATTAATAAATTTCACCTTCATCAAAAAAAAAAAAAAAAAAAAAAAACTTCCCAAATCGAAAAACACAGAATTACCACCAAACTTCCAATTTCGAAATCCACAATCCAATTCCAGTATTAATAACAACAAATGAACCCAGTTTCCCAACCCATAGTCGAAATCAGTCCTAACACCCCAAAGAAACAGACATCAATCATCCAATCCAAAAAAACTTACCCAAAAAATGTTCACCTCTTGTCATTGTCGTCGCCGCCGGGTGAAACACAGAGCTGTCGGCGGACACCCACTCCTTCCTTTCATTCTCGCTACTTCTTTCCCTCATTTTTTAATATTTTTATTCTGACCCAAATGAACCACAATACAATTCCAAGAGGTGACCCACAATCCAATTCCCTCATTAAGGGTTGGGTGTATTATTATTCGTTACTTCTTTTCCTCATTTTAATATTTTTATTCTTGATTTACTTAGCATAATTAAATATTAAAAAAAAAGGAAGGTGAATTCACCAATAACAAACTGACACCTTAGTTGGTTGAAGCTTCTGCGTCCAACCAAGGTTGGAGCTAAGAATTTTCCTCGATTTAGCCTTAAGAGAGGTCTCGAGGCTAAATGACTAACTTGCCCCTTTGATGTGCTTAAAAATTTCGACAGTTGCCACCTTCCTTTCCGCCTTAAAACGACGTAAATAAAAACTGTTCCATTTGGTCCCGCACCTGAGACCATGAACTTGTTAGTGTTGTGGTATATGACCCACGATTGAACCTCTCCCAACAACTCGAGTTATTGGGATCAACTGGTTCTTGACATGGTATCAGAGCCTTCTGTGACCGAGAGGTCTTGTGTTCGATTCCCGGTGACCCCCATTTGTTAAGCACATGGTATTCTTGTCTTAAGACCTGTGCAAACTTCAAGCCCTTGTGAGTGGCTTTCGTTTGAGGGGGCGTGTTAGTGTTGTGGTATATGACCCACGATTGAACCTCCCAACAACTCGAGTTATTGGGATCAACTGGTTCTTGACAGAACTCGCCACTAGCCCTGAGTAAATAATATTAACCCCCAAGCCATATAATCATGCTTGAACCCTATTTTCTTCATTTCAATTTATTTGTGTTTAAACTTAATATGCAACATTTCTATCTATTAATCTTGCTAAAAGTTTCTGCTTTGACCAAATTATGTATGTCTCCAAATATTTCAAGATATTAATAAAAACATATTCGCGTTTTACTTCGAAAGTTCCTCAGTACGAAATCGTTGGTAATAGACCACGATAGTCTTTCCGACGAAATTTTTCTCATTGCCTTCAATCATTCGAATACCAAATTACATTTCCCCATGAAAGCTAAATATAAAATCTAATCACGTACCAATAGAAACATGTCAAGATCACCTTTTCAAATCACTATTTTTATCGAACTACGTAGACTTTGATTCCAATTACTCGAGTACGTAGGCAACCAATAGGTTCGAGTCCAACTAACCAAAAACTCTTTCTCTACGTTAGATATTTACGT